TGGGGGCCAGTCCCCTCGGGTCGATGACTGCGTCGTCTCGCCGAGCCTCCATCGCCTCCTCGTCGGGGGGGGGGGGGGGGGCGTCGAGCAGGGCGCCGAGCGCGGCTGCCGATGGGGCATCGCCACCTGGATGGTGCGCAGCAGGTCGATATGGCAGGCCATTGAGGCGATCGCAGAAAACCTTGAACGCCACAATCAGCACGTTCCCTAACAGGAGGAGCAACGCGAACTCGCAGCACGCCTCGTCTGCGCCCATCCATTCCTTCCGCTGGTACAACGTGAAATTTCTGAATACGAGGGCCTTCGCAATGCCGCTCGAAACTATACTGACCAACGGCTGCTCGCCATAGTCAGTACAAGGCGGAACGTAGATCTCCAATCGATTGCTGCTCCAATCCCCCGACGCGAACAAGTCAAGCAAACCCCGCGCAATTACGTCAGTGCCAGATTCTTACATACGAACCGCGACACAACCAATCTTTTCCTCAGCGCTGCCTCTGGGCTGGGAGGCGCGTCGATTACCTTGCAACGGTGCGTCGGGATTTCGTGCATGCATTGTCTGAATGTCGCTAACTTGTTCTGGTGGTCCAGCGACAACGTCACGTTGATCATGCGCGTCATGGCGCGGGGGAACTTCCACGTTGCCAATGCCCGCGCACTCTGCAACATGTGCTGTTCACATTTGAAACGGAGGGACTTCCAACTTCCAAAACGTCTCTGTGTCCTCCGATTGACGCGGCGCTCGGCGCACATATTGCTCGGGTGTCGATCCACGGTGGCGACGCGGCTAAACTCATCGAGCTTGCACTCGGTGAGCGACATGGCGCGCGTATCTCTCAGGGCAGCCATGATGCAGCCTGGGGTGTTCCGCCATAGGGGCTGGATCTGGGCCATTGTCCGACCAATGACTACGGTGTAAGATTGCAGAGCGTCTGGAGGGCCACGCGCGAACAACATGCCGAATCTCTGCTGCGTCTGGAACACCTTGGTGGGGGTCGCCATTCTGTCTACTGGTAACATGTCCAATACCTTTTTCGGCAGAAGCCTACCATCAGACTTAACGCCTCTGTCGGTTTTCGGTGCGGCATCCGTGAGTTTTAACGGAGTTTCGTCGCGCCCAACACTGCCCGCGAACTGCAGGGCTCTGATTGATGTGTTGGATGCAGCTGCCTGTCCGAGCAAGCGGCGGCAGAGCCGATCCAGATGCCAAGTCGCAGCGCATAGCCTCTTGCACGATTCAACGAGAAAGCGTGCGCCCACGCAGAGCTCATGCGGCTTGACCCTCGAAGTTGCATTTGCGAAGCCAAAGTCCAGCTTATCGAAAAGAACATCAGAGACAGCGCGGACGTTTTCACCACTGTCCACTCCCCAATCGCCCCGCTGTCTGCAACGTGCAAGGAAGTTCCCGACGTGGTCGATGAGCGGCGGCGCCAAGAGGGGCGAGCTTCCCGAGAAGCTCTGGGTGATCACGCGGGGTGACACCTGGCGCTGTTCTCGAAACAACTGTTCCTGCTCAGCAATCTCTTTGCGCTGGCGCTTGCTCTCCGCCGCGGCCGCCCTCGCAGCGGCGAGATCGCCGCCGCGCCTGTCGCCCAGGGGGCGACGAGGCTTCGAAGCCGCAACGAACCAAAACGGCGAGGACCCCGGCCAATGTGCAACTGGCCCCTCGCCACCCCCTTGGGCGAACTGTTCTCACGCATATGGGGTTTTCTCTCTTCCACCACCCACCATTCCCATTCGGGAGTGGTTTCATCGCCCCCCGCCCCCCCCGCCCCTGCGGTCTGGACGGGGCCTGATGCAGTAATTTGACCCCCCAAGGTGCCCCAAGATGGCCCCGCGATCACCCCTCGCCAAGGAGCAGTGAGATGCCTTCCAAGATTGCTCAACACTCAGGGCAGACGGGGGCGGGCCAATGCATCTCCCGAAATAGCCCCGAGGGGGGCCAACATGGTAGTGTGCAATATGGCCCCAAGAGCTTCTTCCAGGCAGTCCATCATGGGCATCGTTTCTGGACGGGCTGGCACGCGAAGCGTTTCGGATGAATCGTGCAAGATTGGAGGGGTGGGTATACAATCCAGGAACATGGGGAACAGGTCGGCGCACAATCCAATCCGATTCAAGCACGCTGGGAAGACTCTTAACAACGGATTCAACATGCGGGGTCATGGGGGTGGATGGGCACCCAACGCAATGCAGTCCAACCCAACGAACTCATATCACGAGCGCGATGTAAGGATGCAAGGCCCTGGGCCAGCAAATCCGCAACGGACTGTCCAGAACAATGGGTTGGCCATGGACGGGCCCGCATGGCAGGATGCACGGGCCTTGCGATGGCCAGGGGCGGACCGAAACAGGCAATGATGCAAGGCTGCCAATGGTCTTGTTTTGAGAGCGGCCGATCTCCTAGAACGGCCCCTCGGGCTCGCTGTCTGAGTCTGCGCTCTTTTGGCGCTCGCACGCAAGGATTACTTGACCGTGGGCCGGCTGCTTTGCCTCGGACCTGGCCAAAACTCGTGATACCTTATCTGGAGTGTGAATCATATGTCGGTCTTGCGAGAGGTGCGGTCCAACCTTCAAACACGCAGTGGGCTCACCGATGCAACGGCCCTGACCTGGTTTAGATATCAATCGAGTACCTGATGGCGCTACCGCTGTCCTCGAGCGGCGGCAAAGGCGATCATGAAAATAGCACACTGCCTCAAAACGGCCTCCACGATTTGCATAGTAAGTGGTCTTGCCTGGCGTATTTGCTCCTCCAACGTCCACGTTGAGCGGGGTATTTACCGTCGGTGGTGCGGCTGGTGCTGGTGCTGGTGCGGCGGCTGGTGCCGCCGATGCCGCCGATGCTGCCGCCGAAATGGTCGGTGCCGATGGCGCCGCCGAAATGGTCGGTGCTGCGGTTGATGGCGCCGCCGAAGAGGTCGTAGTAGTTTGCGCCGCCGAAGTGGTCGGTGCTGTAGTTGATGGCGCCGCCGACGCCGCAGATGTCGGTGCTGCGGCTGATGGCGCCGCCGACGGCCCTGGCGGGCTGTCTGACATGTCGTCGCTGTCGCTGTCGTCGGTGCTCCTGTCGTCGTTGCTGCTTGTTCGGGCCGCCTTCAAGGCTCGATGGTGCGTCAGTATCCGTTTCTCTCTGTCATCATCAGGCCACGGTTTCCAATAACCACTGATTGTCCAATATCCGTTTTTCGCTGTCAGGTAGATATTGCCGTAGTGACCGAGCATCGCGATCTCGTCGGCCAACTGGTCCCAATCATGGTCGGCGTCAGGGTGCCGCTTCATTCGATGTGGATCGGCTCGATACACGAATCGCCTGTTATGACGGGCGTCGGGGAGGGCCGTCGGGAAGGGCCGTCGGGAAGGGCCCGTCGGGAAGGGCCGTCGGGAAGGGTTCGATCCAAAACAGCAAGTGACGGGAAAGGCCGTCGGAACAGGCCGTCGGGGAGGGTGACGGGGGACTGTCCTACCCCCCTGGCGGCTCCCCCCTGGGGATGCTGGAACCAGCGCATCGCTCGAGACATCTCTCACAATCAGCTGGGCGCGGTCATAGGGTAGGTGGCTACGCAACGCCCTGTTATGGTATTGTGTTGTGGTATGCCATGGTATGCTACATGATTATACGGTGTTATGAAACGCTATGTTACATCATTATACGGTGTGCTGGTGATATGCTGTTCTACTGCCCGTGCTATGCTGTGTATCGCTATCATGAGTAGATGCGGCCCTGGGACATCGATCAGAAAAAAAAGATTTCGAAAACGGATTTTTGATCATTCCCAAAAAGTATTTGTGGAGTATCTTAACATAAGTGTCCAAAGTGTACTCTGGGAGCATTTCTGGAGTATTATCAACGTTTCCTGGTTTTGCAGTGTGAGGCGTCTTTGTTTCATACAATCTTGGAACATTGTTTGGTAGGGCTATAGGCACGCCAGGACGCTTCGCCACTGCTGTGAGCGAGTGTCGGTGTGGGTGTGCAGCCGGGGCCCCCCGAGCAGAAAGGCAGCAGGCGGCCACCAGGGGACCGGCGGGGCGCTTGGCCAGCACGACGTGCGCAGTGCGAGCGCAAGGCGGGAGGGGCGCGGGAGGGAACAGGGAAGAAGGACATAAAAGAATCCCCAATATTTCCCCATATGTTCTGGGTTTCTGTCTTCCCCCCCACTGCTAGGGAAAACCAAGAAGAAGGACGGGCGGTGGAGGAGGAGGAGGAGGAGGAGGAGGAGGAGGAGGAGGAGGAGGAGGACGAGGAAACCGTGGCGACGCATCAGCAAAGCACATGGAGCCACTCCTGTGGCTGACCCACCGGGGCGTGGCACGAGCACAGACGCACAACCACACACGCACGCGCACACACACACACAGAAGTAGCCGCAACCGTTGTGATCCCAACTGAATATTGTATGACGATTCCTCCCGGAAATCTCCAAGCTGTACGCGACCCCCCCCCCGTGCATCTGCCTCCTCCCGCGCAGAAGCACCGCGCAGTGCCCTCCCTCATCCCCCCACTCGCCTCATCACCATTCTTACCTTCACCCTCTTCCTCCTCCTCCTCCTCCTCGCCCTCACGCTCATCCTCACCTTCACCCTACATCCTCACCCTCACGTCGCCTCGCGCACTCTGTTAGGCACGATCCGAATGGACCTGTTGGGGGAGAGAATCCAGACGTCCACTGGGCCGCCCTGTAAAAACAAACTAGGAAAGGACCTCCTGATCTCCCAAAAGGGGAATGAATCCGAGCGGCTACTGGCTTACCCGGCCCCTGTAAAGATACAATCCGATCGGGATTGGACCCCCCCAGCTGGCGGAGGGACGACGACAGTGAGCTTTCTTGGGCGCAACTGCTGCACTGCGCGATCGCAACCCGCCCGTCAAATGCCACAACTGGTGGGTTCGATTTGGACCTCCACGCCGCTCAACGTTCTGAGCCCAACTGCTGCGCATACACTAAGGGGGCAACCGCATCACAAACGGTTCTCCTCAGGAGGCTAGCCTGAAGCTACTACTACTCCTTGTCGTCTTCCTGGCTCATTAGTGGAATTAGGATGCCCCACACCATCAAATACCAAGAGTTCGACAACAATGCCGCATACACAACCTGAAACGACTTGGAGCCGATCTCGACGCCGAAAATGGCCGGTTTGGGGTCATGGGTCTCCAGATGAAGCACAACCTTCTCCGCCATTGCGATCGCCTCGTCGATGTCGTTCGCCGACTCGTCGGCATGATCCTCCAGAAGCGACGCGGCGTCTTCTCTGATCGGCGAACATCCTCCCGCCTGCCGCCACGCCGACTCCGCGCTTCTCCGTGCCCTCGCCAGCCTGCACCGCGAGTGCTCCAGCCGCAGGTGCGCGATGCGCAGCTGGCGAGCGTGCGCCTCCTCCAGCTTCCCGATGTCCAGCAGGCGGTTCAGGAAGGAGGAGACGAAGATGCACGAGATGCACGCGGAGGCGACCACCATCAACGAAAGGCCCCCCTGGTTGGTGAGGGCGAACACCGAGAGCCCGCGCTGCGCGAGCTGAGTCACCACCCACACGGAGCAGCCCGCGGCGGTGAGCAGGGAGGCAGCGAATATGGGGGCCACGTGCTGGTAGGCCACCTCTGGAGGAAGAAGCAACGCCGCACACATAGACTTCCGGAGGTCCGCGCGAACCCTCGAAAGTTTATGTTTGTGTAATTGCTCCTTCTGCGAGCCTCGTTCATCGCCATGACGTTGCGCCTTACGGAGAACCACACGTAGATGGCGTGCGCCGACGTGAAGGGCAGCACCCGCTCCTCGTCGCAGTAGGCGAGCGCGGCCGCGCGAGCCTTGACGGCCTCCAGGTACAGCAGCACGCTCAACAGCATGTGCCTCAGCAGAGTAAACTGCAGAACGAAGTTCCACGGCGCCGACGCCAGAAACACCGAGCGCGCCAGGAGGGACTGGGAGTCCTGTTCGGTGGCAAATCATGGGAGCCTCCCATACCATCTTGTCCGATCCTGCGAAGCGACGCAAGTCGATGCTTAGTGGACGCTAGTCGACGCTAAATCGACGCTAATCGACGCTAAATCGACGCTACCTGACACTAAATCGGCGCTACCTCGTCGACTCCCAAATGCTAATCGCCGCTAGTCGACGCTAAAGACGGAATTGCGAGGGTACACCAAGCTCCAATGATCTGCTACCGAAGACGTCCGTCGATTCGAGTCGACCTTGAGTCGAACCTGAGTCGAATCTGAATCGAAATTGAATCGAACTTGAATCAAAATTGAATCGAACTTGAATCGACCTTGAATCGAACTGGGGTCGAACAGATCCGTTACGTGGGGGCAAGCTTTTTCCCAACCATCCTGTGGTGTTGGGTCCTCGTTTTGAAGAGACGGTGCCCCGCGTTCCTCTTCTCCTCCTCCTCCTCCCCCCCCCTCCCTCCTCCCATCATCATCATCATCATCATCATCATCATCATCATCATCATCATCATCATCATCATCATCATCATCAGCATCATCATCATCATCACCATCATCTACCATCCCATCATCATCTCGTCATCGTCATCATCATCATCATCATCATCTTCATCATCATCATCATCATCATCATCCATCTCATCACCATCACCATCACATCACCATCACATCATCATTCATCATCCTCTTCCTCAATCCCTCTGCCATCATCATCATCTCATCATCATCATCATCATCATCATCATCCATCATCATCATCACCACCACCGATTTCGGCACACCCCTCACACGTTTCGTGGCCCCATAGGGAGCTCCACCGAAGGCCCCAGTGGCTGCGTCCGCATGCCTCCCCACCACCCATTTCGGCACACCCCTCACACGTTTCGTGGCCCCATAGGGAGCTCCACCGAAGGCCCCAGTGGCTGCGTTCGCATGCCTCCCCACCACCCATTTCGGACACCCCTCACACGTTTCATGGCCCCATAGAGCTCCACCGAAGGCCCCAGTGGCTGCGTTCGCATGCCTCCCCACCACCCATTTCGGCACACCCCTCACACGTTTCGTGGCCCCATAGGGAGCTCCACCGAAGGCCCCAGTGGCAGGGTTCGCATGCCTCCCCACCACCCATTTCGGCACACCCCTCACACGTTTCGTGGCCCCATAGGGAGCTCCACCGAAGGCCCCAGTGGCTGCGTTCGCATGCCTCCCCACCACCCATTTCGGCACACCCCTCACACGTTTCGTGGCCCCATAGGGAGCTCCACCGAAGGCCCCAGTGGCTGCGTTCGCATGCCTCCCCCACACCAATTTCGGCACACCCCTCACACGTTTCGTGGCCCCACAGGGAGCTCCACCGAAGGCCCCAGTGGCTGCGTTCGCATGCCGCCCCCACGCCAACTTCGGTGCACCCCTCACACGTTTCGTGGCCCCATAAGGAGCTCCACCGAAGGCCCCAGTGGCAACGTTCGCATGCCGCCCCCACACCCATTTCGGCACACCCCTCAAACGGTTCGTGGCCCCATAGGGAGATCCACCGAAGACGGTACTCACACCAGCATTACTCACAACTGCATATGGTTGGGTCCTTCGCCATGCTAATTTTTTCCCCCTCGGGGGGGTCGTGGCTTTTATTTTGACGTCGAGGACAATCGATTAATTAGCCTGGCGAAGGACCCAACCATATGCAGTTGTGAGTAATGCTGGTGTGAGTACCGTCTTCGGTGGATCTCCCTATGGGGCCACGAACCGTTTGAGGGGTGTGCCGGAATGGGTGTGGGGGCGGCATGCGAACGTTGCCACTGGGGCCTTCGGTGGAGCTCCTTATGGGGCCACGAAACGTGTGAGGGGTGCACCGAAGTTGGCGTGGGGGCGGCATGCGAACGCAGCCACTTGGGCCTTCGGTGGAGCTCGGGCCACGAAACGTGTGAGGGGTGTGCCGAAATTGGTGTGGGGGCGGCATGCGAACGCAGCCACTGGGGCCTTCGGTGGAGCTCCCTATGGTGCCACGAAACGTGTGAGGGGTGTGCCGAAATGGGTGTGGGGGCGCATGCGAACCCAGTCACTGGGGCCTTCAATGGAAATCCCCATGGGGCCACGAAACGTGTGAGGGATGTGCCGAAATGGGTGTTGGGGAGGCATACGAACCAGGCCACTGGGGCCTTCGGTGGAGCTCCCTATGGGGCCACGAAACGTGTGAGGGGTGTGCCGAAATGAGTGGTGGGGAGGCATGCGGACCCTGCCACTTGGGGCCTTCGGTGGAGCTCCCTATGGGGCCACGAAACGTGTGAGGGGTGTGCCGAAATGGGTGGTGGGGAGGCATGCGGACCCTGCACTGGGGCCTTCGGCGGAGCTCCCTATGGGGCCACGAAACATGTGAGGGGTGTGCCGAATGGGCGGTGGGGAGGCATGCGGACCTTGCCACTGGGGCCTTCGGTGGAGCTCCCTATGGGGCCACGAAACGTGTGAGGGGTGTGCCGAATGGGTGGTGGGGAGGCATGCGGACCCTGCCACTGGGGCCTTCGGTGGAGCTCCCTATGGGGCCACGAAACGTGTGAGGGGTGTGCCGAATGGTGGTGGGAGGCATGCGAACCCTGCACTGGGGCCTTCGGTGGAGCTCCCTATGGGGCCACGAAACGTGTGAGGGTGTGCCGAATGGGTGGTGGGGAGGCATGCGGACCCTGCCACTGGGGCCTTCGGTGGAGCTCCCTATGGGGCCACGAAACGTGTGAGGGGTGTGCCGAAATGGGTGGTGGGGAGGCATGCGGACCCTGCCACTGGGGCCTTCGGTGGAGCTCCCTATGGGGCCACGTAACGTGTGAGGGGTGTGCCGAAATGGGTGGTGGGGAGGCATGCGGACCTTGCCACTGGGCCTTCGTGGAGCTCCCTATGGGCCACGAACGTGTGGGGGTGTGCCGAAATGGGTGTGGGGGCGGCATGCGAACGCAGCCACTGGGGCCTCGGTGGAGCTCCTATGGGGCCACGAAACGTGTGAGGGGTGTGCCGAAATGGGTGGTGGGAGGCATGCGGACCCTGCCACTGGGGCCTTCGGTGGAGCTCCCTATGGGGCCACGAAACGTGTGAGGGGTGTGCCGAAATGGGTGGGGGGGGGCATGCGGACCCTGCCACTGGGGCCTTCGGTGGAGCTCCCTATGGGGCCACGAAACGTGTGAGGGGTGTGCCGAAATGGGTGGTGGGGGGCATGCGGACCCTGCCACTGGGGCCTTCGGGGAGCTCCTATGGGGCCACGAAACGTGGAAGTGTGCCGAAATGGGTGTGGGGAGGCATGCGGACCCTGCCACTGGGGCCTTCGGTGGAGCTCCCTATGGGGCCACGAAACGTGTGAGGGGTGTGCCGAATCGGTGGTGATGATGATGATGATGATGATGATGATGATGATGATGATGATGATGATGACGATGGGAAGAGGGAGGAGGGGGAGGAGGAGGAGAAGAGGAACGCGGGACACCTTCTCTTCAAAACGAGGACCCAACACCACAGGATGGTTGGGAAAAAGTAAACATATCGACCCACGAACTGGGAAAGAGATGAACATGTGGAGCAGGGAAACGTTGCAAGATACCAAACTTGGGCGGCGGGCAATTACACGTCCCCTCCGGGCGAGTATTTCTACGTGCGAAGTGCCCGGCGACCTCATGTTAGAGATCCGCGTGGGCGACCAGGACACGAGAAATTAAGCGTTTCGCTCGATACATTCTCAACAAATCCTCATGTTAGAGATACGCCGTCCTTGGCGCCAGAATCCTGACCGAACTGGTTTGGATCTCAAGCTCGAGCTGCCTGAACGCATAGTTCGGGCTAGTTGCAATCGAAACGCGCGGGGCGCTCGATCAGCTCGAGCCCAAGAGCCATTTCAGTTCCGAAGCCCTCGCTCGAGACATCCTCACAATTTGCTCAGGCATAGAGCCACACCACATGTTGGATATCCCCCTGTGTGGCCTGGACGCGTGAACACGCGCCAAATGCAATTCACAAAACGCATGTTACATCCCCCTCCGCGAAAACGAAAACAAGCATTACGCTAGACACCCTGAACCAATCATGCTGAAAAAACGTTTCGCTCGGGACACATGAAAAGGGAAACGAGCGTTTCGCCAAAGACATCCTCAACACATCCTCATGTTAGCGACCCGCCTGGGCGACCTGGACACGTGAAAACAATCGTTTCGCTAAAGATATCGGCAACATATCTCCATGTTGGAGATCCGCGTGGGCGACCAGGACACGTGAAAACAAGCGTCTCCCTAGAGACATCCTCAACACATCTTCATGTTAGACATCCGCCTGGGAGACCTAGACACGCGAAAACAAACATTATACCCCTTGGGTGGCCTGGACACGTAAACACACGTGGTTCAGCCCCCTTGTGGCCTGGACACGTGAAAACGCGTGGCTTGATTTCGGAACCACCATGTTAGATACCCTCCTGTGTGGGACGTGGCTCCAGCTCAGGACTGCCATGTTACATACCCCTTGGGCGGCGTGGACACATGAAAACACGTGGTTCCGGCTCGGAACTACCATGTTAGATACCCCCTGGGTGGCCAGGATACGTGAAAACATGTGGTTGCAGCTCGGGACCGCCATCCCAGAGACTCTCCCTGTGCGGCCTGGACACGTGAAAAAAAATCTGGTTCCAGCTAGAGGCAACCATGTTAGATACCCTGCTGGGCGGCCTGGACACGTAAAAATAGCCCGCTGAACCCACCATGACCCCCCTTTCTCGTTTAGTATATGAATTACAATGTTTTTTCCACTTCCCAGAGAGCCCCGACGGGGCCCCTCCCAGAGGCCCCCGCCGCATAGGTTTCCTTTGCTCACCGTGATCATAATCATACTCATCGCAACCATCATGCTCATAATCGTCATGATATTTCCTCGTCAAACTCATCATTCTCATGATCATTCGCCATCAACATCATCATCAGCATCATCAACACACTCAACAACATGTTTGGCTCGAG